AGTTTGCAGAGTTCCTGAGGATTTAACAGTCAGCCCTTGAGAACCAGAGCAAGCAGGCTCCAGCACACCGTTGCCTAAAAGGTCCCTAGGGAGGCAGGAAAAACGGTAGCAACAGCATTGATCTTGAACCCCAAAAGGCTTCAGACATCAGACATGGCTCACTTCAGATTAGAGGTCCCCTCCCAGATCCTGGTGCACAGTCTTGTTTCTGCCCTTCCATTTTAAGATCCAGGTCTGTGGTCGTCCCTCCACAGAACACAAAGCCTCTGATGCCTGAGGCAGCATGGCCTCTGGAAGGAGATGGGGCTCGATGCCCTCTGCCTCTTTCGAGACACCAAAGGATCCTGGCAGGGCTGGAACTGTAGTTTTCAGCCTGCGGCTTTGCTCTGATGTTTACACACACTGAAAGTGTGAAACATATGGCAAGAGACAGAAAGAACGTGGGGGAAGAGGTCACTGCAGCTTCCCTACAAAGCACTGACTTAAGTGATTCAGAGTAAAACTAGAACCTTGAAACCAAATAATTAAAATTTTCGAAAAACAAAGACCCTGATTAAACTGATGGGTAAAGTCTGGTCATTCAAATCCTCATTGGAGTCTGCATGAATCATGTTACTTCTCGGCAGTTTCTGTCTAGTTGTATAAAGATAAGCTTTCCAAAGGGCACTGCTGGGCCCAAATGCTTCCAACCCTCCCTTCTATGGCTAGCCTGGGAGCCTGGGGCCAATGGCTAAACTAGAATACGTGAAAGTGGGTCTTTGAGAGACCACACCAAAACCTAAATATAAGAAAATAAAATGAACATTTTAAAAATAAAATAAAAATCCTTTCAATGTGGTGCTTCAGAATCTAATTTTCAGGGCCAATTCTCACCTTCTAATACCCACATTGCTCTCAAGTCATCTCATTCTCATCATGTGTTTTATCCTCATGTAGATGAGTGTTTCGCCACCTGGACTGCACATTGGAATCATTTGGGGAGATTCTTAAAAATCCAGATTAAGGTCTGGAATTTTTTTTTTTTCAGGCCAAAGAGTCTTTACTTTTAAATGATTATTGATACACCAAGTAATAACATGTAACAAGCTCTTGAATTCTATCATCTAGTAATTTTGGTTAAGAGAAACTAAAAGCAGTCCGAATACACTAGTATTCACTATTCTAACCATTAGCAAGAATGGACGACTTTAAGGCTGGCTGCTGCTTCACACAGGTTACAAATAACTATTACTTTTTCATAGATAAAGCCCCCGATCTTCAAGAAAGTATTAGGGGAAAAAAAATCATTTAATCCCTTCCTTTCTTCAGAGAATTGTTATGTGGTGTTTTTTTAAAAACTAGATCTAAGAAAGAAAAAGTCAACACTGATATACATGTTGCTTGAGCCAAAAGGCATAGGAAAAAAGACAATATATGCCCATTAAATTCCTAAGAGATATGAGGTAAAAAGATGAAATTTTTAGGTAATCTAAGTCTGTAAATTTCATCAAAAAAGATGAAATTTTTAGGTAATCTAAGCCACAGGCATGGTGGCTCAAGCCTGTAACCCCAGCACTTTAGGAGGCTGAGGCAGGAGGATCGCAGTTTGAACCAGCCTGGTCAACACAGTGAGACCCTGTCTGTTAAAAATTTTTTTAAAATACAAGGATTGTGTCTCACCCCCAAAAGATTGATTTAATTGGCCTGACTGTACCCCTGCAACAGGAATTTTAAAAATTGACATAATTCACCTACCATAAAAACAACTCTTTAAGAAATACACAATTCAGGCCTGGTGTGGTGGCTCACACCTGTAATTCCAACACTTTGGGAAGCTGCGGCGGGCAGATCACTTGAGGCCAGGAGTTCAAGATTAGCGTGGTGAACATAGCGAAACCCCAACTCTACTAAAAATACAAAAATTAGCCAGCGTGGTGGCACAGTAGCCTATAATCCCAGCTACGTGGGAGGCTGAGGCACGAGAATTGCTTGAACCTGGGAGGCAGAGGTTGCAGTCAGCCAAGATCGCACCACTGCACTGCAGCCTGGGCAACAGAGCGAGACTCTGTCTCAAATTTAAAAAAATGGAAGTACACAATTCAGTGGTTTGTAATATATTTGCAAAATTGTACACCAATCACCGCTATCTAATCCCAGAACATTTTCATCTCCCCAACAGCCAATGACTATACCCAACATTAGTCACTTCTCTTTCCCCTTTCCCTCCAGCCACTAATCTCCCTTCTATCTCTACAGACTTGTCTATTCTAGCCTTTCATATAAATGCTATCATACAATATGTGGTCTTTATGACTTCTTTTCCTTAGCATTGTGTTTTCAAGGTTCAGACATGCTGTAGCATGTATCAGTGCTTCATTCTCTTTTATTTCCTGGTACTATTCCCTTGTATGGATATACCACAACTTGTTTATCCATTCATCAGTAGATATAGACATCTAGGCTGTCTCCACTTTTTGACTATTATGAATAATGCTGCTATGAACATTTGTGTACAAGTATTTGTGTGAACACGTGTTTTCAATTCTATGCATGGAATAGCTGGGTCAAATGATCACTGTTATTTTTAACTGTTGGAGAAAATGCCAGGCTATTTTCCAAAATGATCACAGCATTTTATATTCCTACCAGCAATGAATGAGGGCTCCAATTTCTCCACATCCTTGCCAACATCTGCTATCATCTTGCTTTTTGGCTATAACCCTCCTAGCGGAGGTAAAGTGGTATCTTACTGTGGTTTTGATTTGCCTTTCCTTTATGACTAATGATGCTGAATGTCTTTTCATGTGCTTATTGGCCATTTGTATCTTTTATTTATTCATTTTTTTGAGAAGTGTCTATTGAAATCATTTGTCCAAATTTTATATGGATTATTTTTCTATTGTTGTTAGAGGTCTTTGTACATATCCTGGATCCAGGTCGCTGGAATGGTATAGGCAGTCTAACAGCCTCCCAGGTGATTTTCATATGTGCCAAGTTTGAGAACCACTGATGTAGAACAAAGCCTCAAACTGCTCATGCTATCCAAATAAGAGAACTTTTCATTATTTCAAGAAAAGTAATATTCTTTAATAGCTCTTATAGTTTTAACAAATAAATCAGGAATTAGAGGGTGTGGGCTGTGTTTTGGGCCCAAGAGGCTGGGCTTTCTAATTTTTTTAGAAAAGCTAGAAATTCCAATTGTTGTACAGACTTTCATAATTTTTACATTAGCTGCTAATTCAATAAAATTTAATCACATATAACTTGAATGAAATCAATGAGAAAACACTGCACAAATCCAAATTGAGATGTTCTATAAAATAACTGACCTGTACTCTTCAAAAGTGGAAATGTCATGGAAGATAAAGACTAACTAGAGAATTGTTCCTGATGAAAAGAGGCTGAAGAAAAAGAGCACCTGAATGCAATGAATGGCCTGGAATTACTTCTGCCATAAAAGACATTTCTGCAGCTGCCAGTAAAATCTGAATAAGGTCTGTAGATTAGATAAAAGAATTGCAGGAACTAGCTAGGTACAATGGCTCGTGCCTGTAATCCCAGCACTTTGGGAGGCCAAGGCAGGCAGATCACCTGTAAGGTCAGGAGTTCACTTGAGGTCAGCCTGGCCAACATGGTGAAACCCCATCTCTACTAAAAATACAAAAATTAGCTGGGCATGGTGGCGCACACCTGTAATCCCAGCTCCTCGGGTGGCTGAGGCAGGAGAATCGATTGAACCTGGGAGGTGGAGGTTGCACTGAGCCAAGATCACACCACTGCACTCCAGCCTGGACAACAGAGCAAGACTCCATTTCAAAAAAATAATAATTACAATTACAGGAATCGTAATTACTTGGCTTTGATCATTGTATTGCAGTTATCTAAGAGAGTGTCCTTGTTTTTAGGAAATATACATTGAAATACTTACAGGTAAAGGGGTATTATGTGTGCAACTTACTCTCAAATGGTTCCGAATATACATGAGAGTGAAAGAACGCAGGCAAGAGAGAAGGGGTGTAGATAGAAAAGATGAACAAGAGAATGATAAAACAAATGGGGTATGATGTTAACACCTGGGGAATCCAGGTAGTTATAAACTTTCTTTAAGTATGAAACTATGTCAAAACAAAAAGTTAAAAAAAATACCTTTCCAAGTCAAACAAAATCCATCTGCCAGCAGAATGCTGGTTTGTGACTTCTGAAGTCTGAGATCTGGGGATCCTCAGAAATCCCCCACTATGTACCCCTGGAGGGTCTTTTCCATTCCCTCTAAGGACAGGGCAAGAATCTACAACACCCTGGGCATCTGGAAGGACCTCACAAAAGACAGCCTGATGACAGTAACCCAGGGGAGGAAGCTGGCCTGGCCCACCAACTGGAAGGGCAGTGGAAGGGCCAGGGTGGCCAGGAAGATGCCCAGCAACACAGGAGCAACACCATTCACCTCCCTCCTTCCTCTCACCAAGTGTGTCCCCACATGGATCAGTCACTTACCTCACACACAACAGCATGATTCTCTTCGTCTTGGGCCTCTATTAGTTCAGCCAGGAAGTATTCGCCGTAAGTTTCCTTCAGAATTGTGTCATAGCGCATGAATATTGGCATGAGATCGTCGTGGTCTTCCACCCTGTTTAATAGAAAGGCTGAAGTTCAGTGTTTGCTCATTCATTTTTTTCCTTCAACAGGGCACCAACTATGTGCCAGACCCTGTTTAAGTGCTGGGGCTACAGCCACACTCATGATATGAACTTCCCTTCTTTTTTTTTTTTTGAGACGGAGTCTTGCTCTGTCGCCAGGCTGGAGGGCGGTGGCACGATCTCAGCTCACTGCAACCTCCACCTCCCGAGTTCAAGCAATTCTCCTGCCTCAGCCTCCCGAGTAGCTAGGACTACAGGTGTGCGCCACCATGCCCAGCTAATTTTTGTATTTTTAGTAGAGACAGGATTTCATCATATTGTCCAGGATGGTTTTGATTTCTTGACTTCATGATCCATCTGCCTCAACCTCCCAAAGTGCTGGGATTACACGCGTGACCCACCGTGCCCGGCCTGAATGTCCCTTTTAATAGGAGTAACGGACAACGAAGATGTAACCAATTTAGACAATTCTAAACATTGCAAATAGTGGTACATGCTTTGGGCTAGAGAGTGAGAGGGCCAAGTGGTCAGAGAGGACCTCTGTGAGGAGGGACATCTGAACTGAGAGCTGAATGAGGAGAAATGGGGGAAGCTATGTTGAAACCTGGAAGTGAAACAGTGCAGGCAGAGGAAACACAGTTGGCAAGTGTGGGTGCGGGATGCAGGGAAGCACCTGTCATGGGCCAAAGGACAAGAGGCTGGAGGCAGTACTTCCCAAGGGTGTTCTAAGGAACACCACTATGATATTGTTCTGAGCATCCCCCAGCCCAAAGAACTCCAATGCCTAAAAACAGTAACTACTCTAAGTCCCTTCTTGTTTCACAGTTACATATTAAAGACTCTGAGAAGTACTACAGTAAAGAATGGTTACCTTGTTTACGCATTTCTCAAACACTGGCCCATGGCACCCTTTATTCCTGAGATGTCTCTGCAGTTGCTATGGAGGGGGAAGGCTGGTGAAGTGGTAGAGTGCTGCTCACCCTCCTGGGGACATCCACTCCACTTCCATTCTCAGGACCCTCTACAGAGACCTTGACAACTAGTTGAGGACGGAGTGGGGGGTGGCAGAGGAGGGATGGGCAGAGGGGCAGGGAGCCAACAACCAGATTTACTATAGCTTGGAGAAGCTGGCTCCTGTGTTCCATTTGGCTGCAGGATTTAACATGCCTTTGTTCTTTTTAGCACATTTTGGGGTAACTTTAGTGTTCTTTTTTACTTGTCTGAGATTTTTGTTTTGTTTTGTAGAAAGTGATTTATTTAGAGAGAGAGAAACAAACAAACAAAAAAAAAAACAGGAGAAGGAGAGAAAAAGAAACAGCGAACTCTCAAACTGAGTGAGAGAATCCAGAAAGATGGAATCTGGGAGAGAAAAGCAGCTTCCACACTGAGTGGAAGGGAACAGAGAGAGAGACGGAGTTTAGGAGGGGAAGACAGGCTTCCACTAGAGAGTGTGGAAGGGGACCCTAGAGGGAAAATCCAGGATAGAGAAAAACAGCTTCCACGAGCGTGTTCATGGAAGGGGATCCAAACATGGAGTCCCTGTCTGAGATGTTTTTATACTTTTTTTTCTGATACTCTTTCTATGAAAATGTTTCAGCTTTGCGTTATTTTTTTCTAGTATATCTGCTTTGGCTACTAATGCCTATTTCCTCCTGCCAGCTTCACTATGCTACCATCTTCATCATCCCATTTTATCTTCCAGTATGTTCTCTTTGACATTAACGGCGGCTCCATCTACTGAGTGATCGGTATATATATAAAGCTCAGGGCTTTATCCAGATGATCTCTGCTCCTGTGTTTCTCAAAGTGATCCCAGGAGGGTGGCACTGCCATTTTCACTTTACTGAGGGAGGACAGCAAGGCCCGTGGAGATGAGGAAATGCTTTGCCTGAGATGACAGACATAGTTGGCAGCAGAGCCGTGATGTGACTCTGGTCTAGTGACTTAAGCTCTGCCTTCACACTCTGCTAAGCTGACAATGCACTTTGAAAATCTTCCTTTATTTTGACTCCTCTTTTGAAAATTTGTAGCAGGAAGCAAAAGAGTTGAGAAGGGAATCCTTGGTTAGGGGCCCAAGGTCATCACCCAGCCAGCCCTGCCACCACTCCTCCTGCCCCTGCAGTCCAAATGCTTTAAACTGGATGACCCCGTGCACTCTAGATGAAAATCTTCACCCTGTTCCCAAAATGAAACCTTTGCCTCTGGTGACACAGGTATAACTGTTGAAATGATTCTGGTTTTTCATTAGAAACAGTAAGTATCTTGATGGAAGAACTACATAGTTGAAAAACCAGGTCTCTGGTCTATAAAACTTCGGAGGTAAGGAGAGAGCCAGCCAACAGACCATGGTACACGGAGGAGAAAAAACACACAGAAGATGACAACTTGGGGTGGAAGGGACAATCACCATGACTCCTCAGGTTGAATCTTCTTGTTAACCTTTTGATATTTGTTGGCTGTGTCCCCACCCAAATCTCATCTTGAATCGTAGTTCCCATAATTCCCATGTGTCGTGGGAGGAACCTGTTGGGAGGTAATTGAATCATGGGGACAGTTTCCCTCACGCTATGGTTTTATAAGGGGCTTCCCCATTCACTTGGCTCTCATTCTTTTCTTTCCTGCTGCCTTGTGGAGAAGGACATGCTTGCTTCCCCTTCTACCATGACTGTAACTTTCCTGAGGCCTCCCCAGTGCTGCAGAACTGTGAGTCAATTAAACCTCTTTCCTTTATAAATAGCCCAGTCTCAGGTATGTCCTTATAGCAGTGTGAGAATGGACTAATACACCTCTTGTTGAAATTCTCTGGAAGGAGAGACAGCAAAGAGTCCTTATCCGGGCAACCAGATCTTTGTTTTTTTATACTATCAACCTGGCTCTGATTTCATCACCACTAAACAGTCTTATTCCATCATGCAAGGGCATCAGCAGGAATTTCTAGTGATGAGGCTAAAACAGGGAGCCAGAAACAAATACTAATGATGCTGCAGTCATTTTTCAAGCGATTTCAGTCCTGCAATAATTTACAAAAGGTAGGCCTTGAACACTGGTCCATCTATTTCTGCGTGTGATCACTGAGCATTATCAGTGGTCACCTGTGGCCCTATGGACTGAGGTGCCATCATAAATGCATTAAGTCTTAGGGTGCTCTTAAAAAGATTAGGAAAAACAATAATACAGCATAATGGTCACCGCCTAAGCAGGGGAACCAGGCTGCCTGGGTCTGGATCCTGTTTCTGCCCAGCTGTGACCTCGGGTACTTTACCTCCCTCTGTTACTACGCATGCATCTATCATAAAAATAGCAAATGTTAAAATAAGGCTATGTGCAATGTTACTGTTATTATATTTCTTAGGTAGGAAAAACCAAAAAGAACTGCAGAACTTCAACGGTCAGTGGGTGGAATGAGTTTCTTACTACAGAAGCTTGAATCACTGCACTCACTTCCCACTGACTCCTGTACAGAGAAACTCTGTCATTCCATCCACCATCACCAATCTTCTTAAAACCCTGATTTCCTCATCTTACTTTAAAACTTTTACATGCACCCATAAGAAATAATGAAATCATGTCCTTCGCAGCAATATGGTTGCAGCCGAAGGTCATTACCCTAAGTGAATTAATGCAGAAATAGAAAACCAAATGCTGCAGGTTCTCACTTATAAATAGGAGCTACACAATGGGCATTCATGGACATAAAGATGGCAACATAAAGATGGGGTCTTCTAGGGAGGAGAGGGAAGGAGGAGGGTATGGCTTGAAAAACTGTTGGGTACTATGCTCAGTACCTGGGTGGTGGGATCAATTGTACCTTAAACCTCAGCATCATGCAATATACTCAGGTAACAAACCACTGATAATGCTCAGTGATCACACACAGAAACAGATGAACGAGTGTTCAAGGCCTACCTTTTGTAAATTGTTGCAGGGCTGAAATCGCTTGAAAAATGACCGCAGCATCAGTACAGTCATACCCATTCTAAATAAAACACCCTGCACGTGTACCCCCTAAATCTAAAATAAAAGCTGAAATTACTTTTTTAAAAACTCCACTTTTGCAAGCTCTCCACTGTTTCTGGAATTGGCACAACATTATTTGCCTCTATCTTTCTATCCTACTAACAATAATGACACAAGTTAATTTACTTACTGTCTCTAGAAGGACACTTCACCATCTTCCCTCCTTCCCACCTCTATTCTCAGCCAGTGCTCTGACCCCCTTGCCTACTCCCAATTCCAGCATCCTCCATGCTCATCTCCACCCTACACTCTCCAGTGACTCTTCTCTCCCAATCTCCGTTCCCAGGAACCCAATGGCAAGACCATCACTGGATATATATTGTCCAGTTCTGGTGCTAATTTCTTATGGCCAGCAGGTAGCATCTTCCCAACCAGGGAAAATGCTCTTCAGGGACACAGAAGAAATTCTGTAGCATTTCTGTAGCATGTAGCCCAACAGCAGCGGCCAACATAGACTGGGCCTTTACCTTGTGCTGAGACCTTGCTAAGGGTCCCATTCACACCAACAGCACTGAGGGGCACAATTTTTATGCCCAAGGGGCAGCATCTGGGAAGTCTGAACCTATGGTCCCATGCTGGTGGCATTACAGTCCTTTTACTTAGCCTTCGGACTCTACTGACTACGAAACTGGCAAAGTCGCTTCAATGCTAAGCCTTGGTTTTCTCACGTACAAAACAGATAGGGACAAGAATAGCTGTGAGGATACAATGTGAGATACAAATGACGCACTGAAGCCTGCTCTCTGGGGCACAGTAAGCCCTCAGAAAGTGCCTGTTCTCTAAGTGAGCCCTCAGAACCTTGGCAGAAAAAGCCTAGAACATTCTGTTGCCTCCCAGGAACAACTCACTTCCCCACTTAACCTGACAAAAGGATGTGGCTAATAGGAGGTGGGTGGCTTTTCTCTGTAAAAAGAGTCCTTGATGATATCAGCTAAAAATAATTTGTAAAAAATTCTAGGAGAGAGTAGTCAAC